AAGACGCTGCACAAGATAAAACTGATATGGTAGAGAATTTTCTGATTCATGCAAAGGAGGAATTTGCTTTAAAAAAAAAAACCTGAGGGAAACTCTAAATAAGAAGCAAAAATACGATAACATCTATCTTCCCTTTGGCAGTAGAGGTGAAAATGATTTACATTTTTGTGTCTATGCAACAGAATAGTTTCAAATAAGATTATGGTGCCATTTAAGTTGTGACATCATTTTAAAATCAATCAATCAGAGGTAAAGAAAAAGAAATAGAATATTTTAAATTAGGACATAGTCATGAGCTCTTTCAAAGCCCCCCAAATATTTCTAATAGCTCCATTGAAATATCTTGCAGGATAAATGATCACATCACATTGCCTGGAAAGACACCTACAATAGCCAAGACTAACAAAGTCTGTACAGTTGACATTGTTGAATGGCAGCTGGATGAAGAGTTAGTAAAGAAGTCGTAGCATTGCCACTAACAATGCAATAAGACTGTCGCACCAGCACAAGAGTTAAATCTATTAAAATCCCTGCTTTCTACCCCAACCCTCTTTATGGAAAGCATCTAAGTTTTTTTCCATAAACATATCCTAAATAAAGGAAAAAAAAAATGGATGAGCAAAACACAACATAACTCAGGGCCTGAAATCTTCAAGAATTGAAGGGCTATGACCCAGGGGATCAAACTGGAAACTTCCTTCATGGATTTCACTCTTTTATGCAGAATGTATGGAAGCCATAAGCTACCTGGTCAAAGACAACCACTGTTCATGCTTGTACGTGTGTTTTTCTAAATGTTTTCTTGTGAGTAGTTGTGGGTAGGGATGTAAAGAAAATGGGATATTCTATTTTATAGTCTTCTTTACTGAAATCAGAAAATTTAAGTATGTTTTTCTTTTATTTATTTATTTTTTAAAATTTCTTTTCTCACCTCCCTTGCCTGTCAGCTCTGAATATTTTTCTAATAGATATAATTCTGTATCATTTGAAATAGGCATACAATAGTCCATGTGTAAGTAATCCTTTTTTCCCCTTTACTGGTAATGATACAGGATTTATTATATGGATTTGACCTCACGTAACTGTGGGAACTCACCCTCCCCATTCACACAGCAGGTAGCAGGTTCCAGGAGACTTAACAGCTAAACTGCAGAACAACCCACAACCAAAGATGGCAGGACTGTGAGTGGAATAACTGGGGAACATGTTCTATACTCCTTCCTACAGCTCCCAGTGGTATTAAGCTTTTAAGCTCTAGTTGACTTCACATCCTCTATTCATTTATTTTCCTTCCTTGTCTGACTTCCCCACTATCCTGATAATATTTTTTGGAATAATTTTCCAAATAAACTATTTGCACCCGAATCATTTTCTGAAGGTCAGCATCTGAGGAATCTCCAACAAAAATACATGGTAATACCCAAGACCTTATAATTATCAGTGCCTGCATAATTTCAATTTAAATTACCCCACCCTGGGACACCATTGTCTAGCTTTTGAGTTCTATTCCCCCAGTACCACAGCTCCAATGAATCTTCAACCTCATATGAACCAACCAGCCACGGAGCTACTCTCTTTTATTCCCATCACCCATCTGGTAAATAGGGTTAAAAAAAACCTCTCGGGGAATATTGAACAGAACTACATTCAACGTATAACATAATTTGGAGAAAATGAACATCCTTACAATAGTGAATCTACTTTGGATGAGCAGAGATTGGAGGAAGAGAGCCTTCCTCAGCGGGATCCCAGTCTGATTTAAGTGCAGTTGTTGATCAACTCAAGGCTTGGTGGGTGTGATGGTTGATTTTGTGTTAGCTTGGAGGGTGCTTTTGAATGAAATTAACATTTAAATTAGCGAACTTTAGGTAAAGCAGATTGCCCTCCATATTATAGCTGAGCCTTGCCCAGTTGAAGGTCTAAATAGAATAAAAAGACCAGTCTCTCCTAGCAAGAGGGAATTTCTCAGTAGACTGTCTTTGGACTTCGTCTCATCTGCACCACTGGCTCTTCTGGGTCTCCAGCTTGCTGGACCACAGCGCAGGTTTTGGACTTGCTAGCCTCCATAATCACGTGAGCCAATTCCTTATAGTAAATCTCCTATGTATAAAAATATCCTATTGGTTCTACAATGGGCAATGAAATTGACAGAAGAATAAGAGAAAAGATGGAAACAGCAGACTAGTTCTAGTGAGGAAACTTGGAAGTTTCCTCTAGTGAGGACTCTTGGAAGTCCCTGCTGCCAGGACTGGGTCATGGGTAGGAAGAACAGTATGATCATCATTACAGTGGTGCCAGGGTGTCAACTACAGAGACTTCCACATTTTGTATTGAATTTAGTGGATAGTCATGTATCTTGTTTTGTTGAATTCTTGTTTTTAAGAATCTTGCCTGTGGTCCCAGCACTTTGGGAGGCCAAGGCAGGTGAATCATGAGGTCAGGAGATCAAGACCATCCTGGTCAACATGGTGAAACCCGGTCTCTACGAAAAATACAAAAAATTAGCTGGGCATGGTGGCACGTGCCTGTAATCCCAGCTACTCAGGAGGCTGAGGCAGGAGAATTGCCTGAACCCAGGCGGAGGTTGCGGTGAGCCGAGATTGTGCCATTGCACTCCAGCCTGGGTAACAAGAGCGAAACTCCATCTCAAAAAAAGAAAAAGAATCTTAAAATATCTGGCTGGGTGCAGTGGCTCATGCCTGTAATCCTAGCACTACGGGAGGCCGAGGCAGGTGGATCACCGAGGTAAGGAGTTTGAGACCAGCCTGGCCAAAATAGTGAAACCCCGTCTCTACAAAAAATTAGCTGGGCATGGTGGCATCTGCCTGTGATCCCGGCTACTCAGGAGGCTGAGTTAGGAGAATGGCTTGAACCCGGGAGGTGGAGGTTGCAGTGAGCCAAGATTGCACCATTGCACTCCAGCCTGGGTAACAAAAGCGAAACTAAAAAATAAAAGAAAAAATATTTGGATTCATAATTTCATAGGCTTTAAAACTGGTAGCTTAGTGCTATGGTTTTGCAATGTGACTGTTCATTGGATTCACTCAAAGAGCTTAAAAAAACAGAACAAACTTCCTTTCCCCACCAAAGTTTCTGATTTACAAATTTGTGGTAGGGTCTGGGGATCTGTGTTTGGAAAATATATCTCAAGGTTTGCAATAACTTCTCTGGAGATCATCTAGTCCAGTCATCTTTTTGCACATGAGAGAACCCAAAACATGAATGGCTTAAGTGACATAGGTGCTTTCTACACCCTTCCAGGTTTGGTAAGCAGGTACAGGTGAACATACCATCCAGCTTCCAGAACTACAGTTTTCTCTGGGATCTGAGAGTCATCCTTGGGAAACCTCAATAATGGATTCAATGCAATTCAAGAACAACAACAGCAGCAACATAAATGTGCATGCTTTTCTTATCTTTGGTCTCTTTCTCTTAAAATAAGAGTGAATAATATCTGCTTAATTGCTTAATTAAGGGTCTGGTTAGACAGAATCTCATTAAAAAAGAGCAATAATGACTTAAGTTTTCTGTTGGACAGAGAGAGAGAGAGAGAGATGGACACCTCCCGCCCACACACACACGCAGCAGATTGCGTTTCTCTATACAAGTTGAATTTATCTCAGCAACTTCCTCAGTTTTTTAAGAAGAGAATATAAGACTTTGCCAACCTAAGAAAATTTTGTAATTGGTTATTTGGAGCTAAGATCATCTGATTGTCATGCTTAATTGTGGAAATAATGTTTCTTTTTTTCTAATCTCCCAAATCATTGGTAATCTTTCATAAAAGGAATCTATATACCTTCCTGTGATATTTATATCATTTTTTGATTTTAAATTGCCTTTTCTTCACAATAAAAGATTGTTTAAACTTATCAAAATCACTTTGATTTTACACCTACAGTCAGAATCCTAACATTTCGATTTTTGACACTTATAAATGCTTTAATAGATACATGGACAGTAATTTTGTTTGACTTAAATATAATAATCGGGCCCATTTATCCAGGATGACAAGATTTCATTTCCTAATGATCTTTTATTGTAAATTTATTTGATTTCCTTTAATATATTATCTCATTTTTCATAGCCTTTCTTTTTGAAAAAAATATGAATAATTTCTTATGGAATTATGAAGACTTGGCCTTAAGCTGACAGCTTTGAGAAACAGTGAATATCTCCACCCTCTTAAACAAATTATATAGTTTGATAACAGAGTCCTAAGAAGAGGAGAACATTAGTTTATTAATAATTTATTCTAAGAGATATCAAGGATTATACTTTCAGGGGCTCTTGTTTTCTTTACAAAAAATGAGGCCCAAAATAAGCAGGCTAACCTGATTCCAGTTCTGTATTTTCAACTGCCTACTTGACCTCCGTCTGGATGTCTCATAGTCAATTCCTGCTCATTATTTGGTTACAAAACCAAACTTGCCTTCTCCTCTCCAAAACGGCTCCTCTTCCTTTGTTTTTATTTTAATTTTAATAAAATCACCATCTACTCAGTCAGTCAAGCTGAAAACTTCAGACATTTTGGAGATCTCTGTCTCCTAAAAATACTCAATTTGTTAAAACGTCTTGACCCCTGAAACTTCCGAATATTTCTCAAAACTGTGCCTACTTCTCTATATTTTCTGGTCCTCATTATTTTTTTTTTTTTTTAAGGCGAAGTTTCGCTCTTGTTACCCAGGCTAGAATGCAATGGCACGATCTTGGCTCACCGCAACCTCCGCCTCCTGGGTTCAGGCAATTCTCCCGTCTCAGCCTCCTGAGTAGCTGGGATTACAGGCACGTGCCACCATGCCCAGCTAATTTTTTGTATTTTTAGTAGACTGGGTTTCACCATGTTGACCAGGATGGTCTTGATCTCTTGATCTCGTGATCCGCCCGCCTCGGCCTCCCAAAGTGCTGGGATTACAGGCGTGAGCCACCGTGCCCGGCTATTTTTTTTTTTCCTTTTTTATTTGAGACAGAGTCTTGCTCTGTCACCCAGGCTGGAGTGCAGTGGCACGTTCTCGGCTCACTGCAACCTCTGCCTCCCAGGTTCAAGTGATTCTCCTGCCTCAGCCTCCCGAGTAGCACATGCTCCCATGCCTGGCTAATTTTTTGTATTTTTAGCAGAGATGGGGTTTCACCGTGGTAGCCAGGATGGCCTCAATCTCTTGACCTCATGATCCACCCGCCTCAGCCTCCCAAAGTGTTGGGATTACAGGCGTCAGCCACCGCGCCCGGCAGGTCTTCATGATTCTTGTTTGGATAACCATACCGCTCATCATCCACGCTGGTGCAGTAGTGATTTTCTCGGAAATACCCACCGGACTCAGTCCCTGAATATTCTCTTTCTTTTCTTTTCCCCTTTCCCCCTTTTTGACAGAGTCGCACTCTATCACCCAGGCTGGAGTGCAGTGGAGCAGTCTCAGCTCACTACAACATCTGTCTCCTGGGTTCAAGCGGATTTTCCTGCCTCGGCCTCCCAGGTAGTAGGGATTACTGCCACCAAGCCTGGCTAATTTTTGTGTTTTTAGTATAGATGGGGATTCACCACACTGGCCAGGCTGGTCTCAAACTCCTGATCTCAGGTAATCCACCTGCGTCGGCCTCCCAAAGTGCTGGGATTATAGGCTCGAGCCACTGTGCCTGGCCAAGTCCCTGCAAGTCCCTGAATATTCTTCATTGGCTTCCTTTGGCCTACTGTACAAGTCCACAGTCCTCAGCAAGGCATCAAGCCCTTTACGACCTGATTTCAACCTAGCTCTCCAACCTCATCTCTTGCGGCTCTACTCCCTTGCCTCCCCTCCTACCTGAAACTCCCCTCTATCTTCAAAAAGTAGTCAATCATGTCTCCTTTGATGATGTCCCAGCAGAGGTAGCTATGGTGCTATGGTTTGAATGTAACTCTCAAAGTTTATGTGTTGGAAAATTAATTGCTGTTGTAATAATATCAAGAGGTGGGCTTTTAAGAGATGATTAGGCCACAAAGGGTTGACTCTCATGAAGGGATTAATGTAGTTATTGCAGGAGTGGGTTGGTTACCATGGGAGTGGGTTTCTGATAAAAAGAGTGAGTTCGGCCCATTTTGTCTGTCTTGCATGTTCACTTGGTCTTCAGCCATGTTATAACACAACAAGAAGGCCCTCACCAGATGCAGCCCATTGGACTTCTCAGCCTCCAAAATGGTGAGCCAAATATCTTTTCTACATAAATTTGTGGTATTCTGTTACAGCAGCAGAAAACAGACTAAGACACACGCTCTCCACTGTACATTCATACCCTGTGTGTGACTCTTAAGATATTATTTACTCATTACTGTAATCATTCATTTATGTCTTTCTCTGTCATTGATCTGTAAGATCTTCAAGAGGAAGTACCGTATTCTATTCATTGTTTCCTTAGTTCCTAGTGCAATGCTTCCTACATAGTAGTTATATAATGAATAGTCATTGAATGAAGAGTTGAATGATTGAATAAGCTCCAAGGGGCTGTTTAAATTATTTTCTTTTGCTGGGTGTCTTATTCTTGTTTCTGTGAAGCATTAACTGGAATTTGTCGTGTACTGTAATTATATTTGTTGAAATGGCATTTGATCTGTATTTCACAATTCCATGGTTAGAAAAAAAAAGCCAAAATTAGACTGCAATCCAGAAACCTACAGCTGTAGCACAAACACACTCTACTTGCAATTTTAATCATTTTAAAGAAATCTTGTTGCAATATTGTATTTTCTTTTCCCTCCCAGCCCTGCCTCTTCTGTAAACACCATATACATGTTTATTTGTATATGTTGTTGAGATGCCTTCTGTACAGGGTTTTCCAACAATCCTTTCATTTTTGCAAAATCTGATTGGTAAGCATCCTTCCATTACTCCTAGGATGTGAGTCAACTTTAGATACATATGGGCAATCAAAATGTTGCAGGTATTTCTGTAAGTGGAAAGGAAGTACCACTAAAATCTGTGTATGTGCTTATACCTTGTTGTGTTTAAAACAGATTTAAACAGTTCATAGTCTTTAAATACAGTATTGCTCTTACTGAAGTAAAAGGGCAAACACCCTGAAATAAGGAGTAGTTCCTTAAAAATATAGGACAAACAAGAAAAGACGCCTAAAAGTTACTTTTTATTCGTCAAGCAGCACTATAATTTTGTTTACGATTACACTGAAACCTCTTTAAAGGTCAATATCTAGGCCCACCTGACATTCATCTGAGTTTAGGGGTTACATAGTAATCATTTAAGAGTTGAATTGAAAGGATGGGAGACTTCCAATAATAGTAAATACAATTCTTATTTTCTTTGGGTTCTAAACCTTCAGGATTGCCTTAAGGAAATCTTAAACTGGAAAATCAAAAGCAAAACTAGTTTCAGCATCGTGTTACTTTTTATTTTATTTAATTAATTAATTAATTTATTTTTTGAGACGGAGTTTCCCTCTTGTTACCCAGGCTGGAGTGCAATGGCGCGATCTCGGCTCACCGCAACCTCCGCCTCCTGGGTTCAGGCAATTCTCCTGCCCCAGCCTCCTGAGTAGCTGGGATTACAGGCACGTGCCACCATGCCCAGCTGATTTTTTGTATTTTTAGTAGAGACGGGGTTTCACCGTGTTGACCAGGATGGTCTGGATCTCTTGACCTCGTGATCCACCCACCTCGGCCTCCCAAAGTGCTGGGATTACAGGCTTGAGCCACCGCGCCCGGCTTTTTTTTTTTTTTTTTTTTAAGAGACATGCTCTAGCTTTGTTGCCCAGGTTGGACTCAAACTCCTGGGCTCAAATAAGTGATCCTCCTGCTTCAGCTCCCTGAGTAGCTGGGATTGCAAGGGTGAGCCACTGTGTCTGGCTGTTACAAATTATAGAGTAGAAGAATTATATGCTCTGGTGAGCGCAAAGGTTTTTTATAGTTGTTTTTGTATTTTTTAAATTAATTTTGCGTTTTTTAAATTAAAAATTAAAATTTTAATTTTTTGACTAGCAGTTTGAATGTAGGATACTTCAAATAATTCGTAGAAGGATATTATATTCCGTAAAAGCCCGAGAAAGACCTATGATGAGAATAAAATTAATTTTTCTTTCTTTAAAAAAATTAGCGTTTTGGTCAGGCATGGTGGCTCATAATTGGCCTTAATCCCAATGCTTTGGGAGGCCAAGGCAGAATGATTTCTTGAAGCCAAGAGTTTGAGACCAGCTTCGGCAACGTAGTGAGACCCCTGTCTACAAAAAAAATTTTAAAAATGAGCCAGGTGTGGTGGTACATACCTGTGGTCCTAGCTACCTGCTCAGGAGGCTCAGGAGAGTATCACTTGAGCCCAGGAGTTTGAAGGTTTGGTGAGCTATGATTGTACCACTGCACTCTAGCCTGAACAACAGAGAAGACCCTATCTCAATAAAAATGTAGCTTCCTGTTCCAAAAGAAAAATGGATGATAGTTTTGTTAAAAATATTTTTATTATCTTGGCATTTAAGGACCTTTTCAGTCTACCCACACGTTATCTTCCTTGATTGCCACCGACATGCCTGCTTTAGGGAGAGTTCATGTCTTGTTTCTTGTAACTCGATAGGATCTAATTCCCATCTCTCAGCACTCATCACCTACATTTGAGTTTTCTAAATGATGCTTGGCTCTCCAGCTAGGTTATGGGGTTCTTAACATTCTTTTAATTTACATGTAATATTCCTAAAATGCACTAATATTTAGTGTACAGCCTGACGATATTTTACATTTCCAGATCAAGCTACAGAGCATTTCCAAAACTTAAGAAAGCTTCTCTGGGTCTCTTCTTAGTCAAATATCACTTCCTCAGAGGTGACCACTCTTCTGACTTCTGTCATAATCTGTGACTTCTATCATAGATTTATTTGGCTTCTTCTTGAACTTCATATAAATGGAATAATATTGGATATACCCTTTTGAGTCTTTCTTCTCTCAACATGGTATCTTTACTACTCATCCATGTGGTTGAGTGTAAGGCATGGATACTGTTTCTATCATCTTTATATCCTCAGGTTCTAATATAATACTTGGCCCATAGCAGATGTCCAGCAATAATTTACTGAATGACTAGATGACTAGATGTATTAGTAGGATTCTTGGATTACAAACAACAGAACTTCTACCCAAGTTGCCCAAGATGACCTTATCTCCTGTGTGAAGCTACCATCTCATGTAACTCACAACTGTCTTCCCAATCTTCCCAATCTCCTGCAGGTACAAATCACATATGAACTCTAGTTGCAAGGGACTCTGGGAAATGTAGTTTTAATGTCTAGCCTCTATAGTAGCCTGCCAGAGGGGTTAGCGATGGTACTGGATGAGCTGTTATGCATTATTCTGATACAGAAGTGGAAGACTTGGCATTGGCTAGGAAACAAAATCAGAAAGAGATAAGAGCAAGGGCTGCTTTAGAGGTCTAGGTGACGGCAATCAACTCACACTTCTTGAGAGGACATCATTCTTCCCTTTATTATGAAGATTTGAAGTCTTGGAAAAGAGAGTGTAGTTGGCAAAGCTAGGGTCACATGCCATTTCTTGGGTAGGAGAGGATTGGAATGACAGCCTCACCAAGATAGCATTTGATGGAGAATTAACTCCTCAAAAAGAAATGGGATGTTACTGACAAAAAAAGGGATATGAACTTAAGGATAAAAGCCCATGAATGCCCAGTAACAAAGTTTAAAAAATAAGCAATGGTAGTCTAAATGTTCAAATTGCATTTCACACATTCTGCCTGAGAGCTGACATCCCCAAGATTTCTAGAAGTTAGAGACAAAGGGGACTTAGGTAGGTCATTTTACAGGGTCACCTATATTGTGATATAGTTTATATATAAGAAAGATACCTTTTTTAGGTGTAGAGCACCACCATAAACATATGGAATATTTCCATTACTCCAAAAAGCTCCCTGTTTCTCTTTGTAATCAGTTCTTTCCCTCATCCCTATTTCCTCCTTCAGTCCCTGACAGCCACCAATTTGACTTCTATCCCTGCAGTTTTTCCTTTTCCAGAACGTCATATAAGTGAAAACGTAAGTTTGACTTATTTCAAATAGCTAGGAGGTCATTTTGTCCAGTAGTTTTTTGATTTCTTTTCTACTGCACGAGGAACTGTTTTTATTCAAACAAACTTGTTTTATTTTGAGATGGAGTCTTGCTCTGTTGCCCAGGCTGGAATGCAGTGGCGTAATCTCGGCTCACTACAACCTCCATCTCCTGGGTTTAAGTGATTCTCCTGCCTCAACCTCCCAAGTAGCTAGGATTACAAATGTACACCACCATGCCTACCTAATTTTTAAATTTTTAATAGAGACAGGGTTTCACCATGTCGGTCAGGCTGGTCTTGAACCCCTGAGCTCAAATGATCCACCTGCCTCAGCCTCCCAAAGTGCTGGGATTACAGGCAAGAACCATCATGCTTGGCCATATTTAAACTTTTATGCAGAAACCTAATATTTGAGACAGGTAGAAATGGACTGCTTTCATGAAGCCAAGCTGAGGAGCCCGAGTCCAGAGGTCCTTCTGATAAAGCACCTTATCATTTGCTCATGAAATTTAATTTATTTTGTGTATTCCAGAATCAGTCAGTTCAGAATCTCTGAACTTTTTCAAAGTTGATTTCTTGTTGCGAAAATGTTCACAGAACATTTTCCATTGAGGGAGTCATGACCTGGGAAAACTATCAGAAATCAGAAAAGATTTCTTGTTCTTACATTTTTGTTAAATTATGGATGCTTAGTTGGTTTTCTTGCTAAAAATGTTCATTTCAGGTCCACTAGGTGTCAGTTGCCATCTCTTACATCTTTTTTTCCACTGCCTTCTTTTAAATGCCACTGTTAACCATTAAAATGGCAAGTGCCCAGACATCACTCATGCAAATAAACCTGAAGGGAAAATTCTGCAGATTATGGTTTCTTGACCTGTGCTGTCCAAGATGGTAGTCATTAGCTACACATGACTACTGAGCATTTGAAACGTGGTGAGTTCAAATTGAGGTATGCTGTGGGTGTAAAGCACAGCATTGTAGACTTTGTACACAGATTGTAGACTTTGTACAAAAGAAAGGAAAAATATTACATTAATAAGTTTTTACTGATAGCACTTAAAATGCTATTTTACATATATTTTGTTAACAAAATACATTGTTATGATTAATTTCCACATATCATTTTATTTCTTAAAATGTGATTAC